AGGGTTTAGGGTTTAAGGCTTCAGGCCTCACCGCTAGGAGTATCGAACCGTGGGTATACTTTACTAGTACAGGGGCCTTATAAATTTGAGCACAATCTTGGTGTCCCATTGTGGTCTAGTTATCAAGGGACTATAGATGAATACCAGTAGCAATTCCGCAGACCCCAAGAAATGGACTATCAGATCGACCTGGTCCAGCCGCCGGAAGAGCGGGGTAACCATGGCCTGGCTGGGAAAGCCCGGGCGTGTTTGGAGTTTTGGGGGGGCTCAAAGCTTCGAGTGAAGGGATTTAATCGGGTTTAGGGATCAGGGTTTAGGNNGGCTTAGGGTTTTAGGGTTTAAGGTTTAGGGTTTTAGGATTTAAAGGTTTAGGGTTTTAAGTGTTTGGGTTTAGGGATTGGGCTCTAGGAAGATGGAAGATCACGATCTGAGACAGTTCAATAAAGGAGACTGGGAACATCCCGGAATGAACATAGCACAACATCTTACGGTTTCACACAAAGTATACAGTACAACATCTAAGCAAGTAGCTACAGCGTGGTGTAATACAGCTTTGCGTGTTAAAGAATGCAACCGTACCGCGCTTACATTGAGGTGTGGAGCAATCAAACCAGTGCTCGAGAAAAATGCTGACGTTTTGCGGGTTGAGGGTGGCGGATTTGCGCACAGTAGGATTCACAATCCAAGCTTTGGGGGAGTAGCCTGCCATCAGTTTAGCGGCTGGGATCAGTGACATGGATCCTACTACTTGCGGTTTGCCTCGGGGTCGAAGGTATAAGTTTGCACTCTGAAACTGTGTTGATTTGCTTGCGATACTACATCACACTACATCAGAGTGCTTGAGCCTCTCTTAAACTGAAGCTTTCTAATGCTTCGTTCGGGTGCTGGCAGGGTGGTTCAAACTGAGGAGACGGATCTAAACCCTGCCCAGCCCTAAACCCTCAACAAAACCCTAAACATGGCCCGCATTTCGGCACAAGGTGGAGGATGTTGACGGATGATTTCGACCCTAAACCCTAAACCCTAAGATGGGACGGGCTCAGGGTCTCGGAGTTTGGGCTGTTTCCGTGTAAGGCGAAGACTTAGGATGTGCATGTCGCTTGAGGGAGCTGAGGATTCATAGTAATATAGGGTTTTGGGGGCTCCTCGTTATAAGTATGGTATAAATATACCCCCAAAACTCTAGTCTAATTATTAAGGTCCCCATATTAGTCTCCCACACTCATCAATTCCGATCACCTCCAAATAACCTGCAACCCCACACGAACCCTAAACCCTAAACGCCACACCCCAAGCCCTCACACGGTGGTTGCACGGCCAACAAACCCCAAAAAAAAACACAGCATCCCTGGATCGAAACACCCCTAAACATCTCTTGAAGGAAAGTCTCCAGCGCCCCTGGCGCCTGGTTAGTGGAAATGAAAAACCGGCGCAGGGGCTCATCACACACAGTGGGCAGGTCCTTGGCTTCAAGGTGTATGGCTTGAAGAGTCTATGGGCCTTTCGGAATGTGTGCGACTAGGCCAGTGTAGAACCACAATTCGCACCCCAGAACACGCACGGCTCTGTAGGGTTCGGGGCTTTGGCGTGGCCGTGGCTGCGGACCCAGAAAGCCTACCAAAGAACATCCGGAAGGCTTGTACGGCTCACAAACAGGCTCACTAGAAGGCTTTACTGTAAGGGCTACTAGAACGGTTACTACAGGGTAGACCAAGGCTAAGGATTACTGAAGAGTCCGCCACGGCGCCTTCTCTTCTCCCACGGAGTTCGTAAGGGCAGTCTTGTTGCCTTGGATAGCAGAACTAGGGCTTAGGGTTTAGGGTTATTGAGAAGAGATGAAACCATTTCTTAAAGCCTAGCAGATATCTGGTTGCTGCAGACCAACCTTGTCCGGCACAATTACGTGACTAGCAGGTCAAGTCACTGCAGCTCTGGAGAAAGAATCACTTTCAGATCAGGAGTAGGCTAGCAAAGAACCCGCAACCTGACAAGTTGCAGTCCTTTCTGCAGGTCTCAGCTATGGCAATCTCTTTTCTTCTGGGCACCTTGGGCCTCGAGCCGTCAAAAATCTACCCTGGCCGAATCTAGAACCGGAAAAGCGTGTTTGAAAGAGCCCTTTCCAGGATCGGAAGCCTTCAAGTTTGATTTACGTAGCAGTAGCAGCAACAGCAGTGCAAGTGATAGAACAGTTGAAGCAGTGGTCGCAGCAGTAGAGCATTAGTCGCAAGAGTAGTAGTAGCATGATGACTGCTGATGGGAGGAAGGGAAGGGGACGAGACGGAGGAGGAGGAAGAGGAGGGCAAGGAGCAAGAGGGGAAGGGGTGGAAGGACGAGGGCAGCAGCGTAAGCATGAGAGTGATTACCATAGTTGTTTTGCTGTGTCTCTAACTACTTCCTGATACTTATGACTGTGTCTGTCCAGGTCTCCTGGAAGGTCCTTGAGAGGGCGCAAGTGCTCCTTCTCATACTCGTAGGCCTGAAAACCCGGCAGCTCCAGGTGTTGAGAATTTTAGAGTCCTTTTCGGGTTTAGGGCTTGGGGTTTGGAGTTGATGGTTTCAAGGCAGCTCTTCAAGGCCTTCTGATGGAAGCTGAAAGGTCCTGAAAATCCCAACAACATATGGACCATGCATGTGCATGTGTATGCGTATGTGTATGCGCATGCGTATGCGTACGCGTGTATGTATGTATGTATGTATGTATGTATGTATGTATGTATGTATGTATGTATGCATGTATGTATGTTTGTTTGTTTGT